TTCTTTTTTTATTTCATCGAGTTATTAAGGATGCCAGGGAACTGTATATTGAATGAAAGCAAGTTAGCCAGTGATAATAGGTCAGCATCACGTGACCGGAAGTAAGCAATGAAGATGAAGATGAAAATGACGTCATGGTAATGGTAATGATGGTGGTGGCAAAAGAATATGGCGTGATAGTGATGATGGTGACGTCATGATAGTGATGATCGCGAGAGGCCGGGATGAGGATGATGAGGTGGGTGATAGCGAATACGATAATAATGATAATGGTGATAATGATGGTGATGAGATGATGATGATGATGACGCAGATGATGACGTCGAAGTGTTGCATGTATTTGTTTATTTTATAGTTGCTCTACAATTTGATTGTCTGTTCAGGGCGTGATCGGCATGCAACTTTTATAAACACACACACACGCACATAAGAACACACGCAAACATATCAACACATACACGTGCACATAAACACACGTGCATGCATATCTACACCCAAACGTGCATGCATATACAACACATATACAACACATATACATGCAGATACAACACATATACAAACGAATGCACATACACACACACACACGCACCAATATAAACACACGACAAGTAAACGCACATGAATGCAGACATAAATTCCTAAACACACATACAAACACACATACACAGCCAAACAAACACACACACACACCCAAATATGCATACGTGCACACACATATGTATGCATATGTGTGTGTGTTTTTGTGTGTATGTGTGTGCGTGTGTGCGTGCGTGTGTGTGTGTGTGCGTGTTTGTGTGTGTGTGTTGCAGTCTGCAGTTATACACTTGTGGAAGCTTAGAGATGATTTAGTAAATAATGAATATTTGTGACGGTGAGTTTCAGTGTTAATCACAGAAGTTGATTACTTTATGAAATCATCGTCGTCGTCGTCATCATCATCATCATCATCATCATCATCATCTTTGCCGTCTTTTTCATCATTTTTTTCATCATCTTCATTGTCGGAACATCTCTCACAAAACTGTTTTGCCCTCCTCATCCTCATCATGATGATCAT